GTTAGTTGGAACTGTTAGATAACTTGGAGAGCTATCTGGTTTGTTTCTTCAGGATTTTATATGCTATCTTTGATACTAGGGGACTAGGATGATGTTTCGCACAAAAAGAAACACTGTAATTTAATATATCACGTTCATATAAATACGAGGATAATTTAAACGATAAATAATCAAATTCATTTGTAATTATTTAATCAAATGTTGAATGGATTATTTCATAACAAGTTTTTACCGTACGATACTTTTTTGACACCAAAAAACTGATTTGGTAATTTGGAGTGATTAATGATTTAGATAGTAAAGGATAGTTTCTGTTTCTCCAGTATTTCATAGAATTATATTATAAAGTAGACGCCTCTTAGCCTCTTAAAATGAGGAGCTAACAAAGGAACAAGTCTGAAGATTTACAACAAATCTATGATTATAAAGGATTTTAAAAACACTAAGACGTATTCACCAAAAATAAAATTGAGGATGTATCAGAAGGAAAAACAAATTATAGTTTGATCGAAATGTTTTAATAGTTAATTGTACATAAAAACGTGAACTCCTTTGGATAGGAAAGTCTAGCACGAAATGGGACTCAAAATAATCGTGTAAGAAATCCTCTTCAGTAAAATCTAGCTATTACAGTACTGTACGCAGAAGAAAATCTAAATATAACCTTATAATAGCTGCAAACCATGAATAGACAGTTGGTATTGACCAATAACCTATAATTCTAGGCTAACGCACAGTTATTGGCGAGTATTCACGACAAAGTCTCGCTAATTTGATAACTTCATAGAAAGCACATCACTTAACATTCCACAAACCGAGTGCTGTGAGTGACGATTGCTCAATGATAGCCGCTATCTCAGCACTTATTATAGTATCGCGGTGATTCTCAGTAATTATAATGGTCAATGTTGGCAGCCCTGTGATTTATCGCCGCCTTGACTCTCCCGCGTTTTCCGCCAACTCGCATCAGCTGTCCACACATCAACAGCTTTGATTATCACCATAGTTTTGTGTTATAGATTATATTTGATATGGTTAAATTGTATTAAACCACAAACAGTATGAAAGTAATCTAACGCATTATAAAATTAATCTGAAAAATGTTGTGTGAATTAGTCATTCAAAACATCTAACCTATAAATAATTTTTTTTACAATAGGTTATCTAAGAAACCAACGCTATGGTAGCAATGATATTCGATACATAACCAGCTAAACCAGACCTAACCCAATCCTTAATGTTCTTAGAATATCACTGTTTAAGCCGATAAAGAATATTCACATTTCTCAATAATTCAATATTTAATTGGGTTTGATCAGAATTCATATTATTTATAACGCGAGTGTTTTAGAACTAGTTCACAACGCATATAATGTTCGCTAGCCGTGAGTTTCCTAGGAAATCATTAGGAAAAAACGCATTCAAATTCATACCACAACCAGAATAGACATAGTAGGGGGTTAAACCTCAAACTTATACAGGGTAAATGTAGGTCTGTTATATTTGGTAGGACTACCCATTCTCAGTACGAACACCCATTTCAATTTGTCGAAACTCAACTCGATTGTTTGATTCTCTGATACTCGAATACTCTTCAACATCCGGTGGAAGGTCAACATGACTCATGACGTCACAGTTGATGACGGCTGTCGTCAGAGAACGTTAGACAGGTTTTGACAGACAACCTACTTATCAGCTGTCCGGCATCCAGCTACTTCACCTTCCATCATCCTTTAAATATTCATCGATCAGCTGCTAACATGTGCCTGACGGCTGCAGGAAATTCTTCACGCGAAGGCTAAAAATCCATCCCAAAGAGGGTAGCGTGGTTGTAACGTCAACTTGAGTATAATGTAGGCCTAGTTTGATATTGCAAACTTTTAAGAGTCTAAATAGTTAATTTTGAGCTTGTATGATGAATTGTGCAAAATAAAAACATTAGATTTCCATAAATATCATAGACATACAAAATTAATACAACATGTTAAAAGAATTGTTTCAAAATAAGTTGCTGTTTCTGCTCACTTGGATTTACTCGGTGTAGGTAATTTAATTGAAAGTGTTCTCGTAGCTATGTTCATTTGATCCAAATCTTTCACCTAACCCGCACACTTAGCAGTAAAACTTGATGTTTTGGGTTTAAATAAGGCATAAATATGTTCCCAACTCAAAAACGTGATCAATTAGTTAAACATCAATTCTACTAGAAATCATAAAGACTGAAACAGAAGGAGAAATAGCCAACGATATTCTTTAAAGCAATGCAATCATTTTAAGCATTTGCATTTTGTAACTATTTTTGTAAGTTACTAACTTACAGCAATTTCTTGAGTACAAACCATCAATTTTGAATAGTATTAAAACACAATCAAAATCATATTAGAAACCACAACCGGAATCGGTGCAGTAGGAGGTGAAACCTCATCCATATGTATTGTAGAAAAACAACTGTGAAAGGGTGGCGGTGTAGGTGGTAAATTAGCGTTATCTGATTGGTGGACCGGGTCTGTGGCCATCCAGGAGCTCGTTGGAAGAATGTTCACGGATAGAGACATCAGGCTGTAGACGGGCTTATCAATCAGTCTTCATCTGTAATCAGCTGTGGACAGTCATCCAGATGGATCGTAATCGTTGATAGTGGCTTGATCGAGTCTGCTTCTTCAGCTGCTCGCCGTGATTCGGCGATTAATGGATTTTGAACCTCGTTTGCAACTGAAGTAATGTTGGAATAGGCCTACTCGTCCGTAAATTATTGTCACGTCTTCGTCTTACTTTGGCGTCTTGAAAGGTAACACGCAGTAGGACCACGAGTCAAGAAATGTTATTCACTAGATTGAAAACTTATTATTTTCGCAAAACTTTATTAACACGATTTGACTCTCACTGAATGACACTGTGAGTATTAAGATTGGTCTTCAATTCCAAGTTACGTGGAGTATGTGAACTCATCATGTGTACATGCTGTAGAATAGGCTGGATCAACAATCTTTACATGTAAATGAATTTTGGTTGAATATTCTACGCATTGATTCTTCAGTGTCAACCGCCACAGCAATCAACTACTACCCTCCCAACCCACATCCAAAAAGATCAACAAAGCTAAAACGTCCCAACAAGATAATTGTCAGCCCTCTAGAACCGGTGTTCAAAGACGTTTTTCTGCCTTTGTTTGTTTGGTTGGATTAGGTTTAAAAGGCGTATCAACGGTGTCCAAGCAGGTAGCTGTTCACCGACACCATAGCTTCAGCTAAGTGGATAATGTCAGCATCAGCATCTGCACGGCCATTCCCAGAAGATAGTCGCAGGGGTTGACAAGCGGACAATGAGGACCACACGTGAGGCACACGAGTCTTCTAATTGCATTAGCCAGTGTTGTGCCTAGCCTAACAAGATTTTACGCGGTCCCGTACCTCAACAATGGGCTACTCGGAAGAGCGACCCTGACGACAGGGGTTGCGGTTCATGCTGAATAAGCTTTTGTTTTCCAGCTTTGGAAAAAACTAGAAACTTAAAGACCTACTTTGGTCTCTTGTGTTGAATAGGTGTCAATGGCGATTGAAAGACCTTGGGTTGTTTGGGCACTGTGCAAAGGTGGATTTCATCGTCGTATAATGTTCATAACTTTTCGTGGAGATTTAGCTTTGTGTTTTCGAGGTCCACTCATTTTAAAACAACAAAAGAAACATTTATAAGCTGTAATAAAGAATCTCAACATGAAATTGTTGTTTTTTTATTGTAGTTATGAAAAGGGTAAGGGAAGAGTTTGAGGCTTTAAACTAAAGAAACCAAACTGTATCATAAGTGTTGCAGAAAAAAATAACGATGAAAAGGTCCTTCCTTGTCCTTTATTACATCAAACGTAATAACGCCATGTTCTGGTTACTCTTTAAGTAGGATGAGCTTGATCATTGTTACTATACCATTATGGGTTTAAATACTTTTCAATCTTCAATTTATAACATATATAACAATTCCCTCACTTGCATGACCCCAAGTAGCTCCGTAAACTGGCCGACCGACTTAAGCTGTCCCCAACAAGGTTGTGGGTAGAAACCACAACCTCAGACCTCTATTGTACCTAATGAAATACAAATAAATTACGAAGCCGGCGTATTTTGAAAAGCGTCGCGGTCGCGGTGGCTTGTTGGTTCTCGCTATAAATTGTGCGTTTCTTTGCCTCGGCTGTTGGCGAAGCGAATAATTCAAACGGCAATAATTTTCCAGCAGTCCCAGATCTCGTGGTGGCCATCGTAAATAAATCCTCGCCGTAACCGGTTGATTAATGTCTTGCTTAATCAACTCGGCTTATACACTTTCAATATCTGTTGTGACCTCATTAAAACCTTGTTTGTTATAATATACCGCCGCGGTATTCAATTTCCGATTTGATTTATGCCTCACACATTCCTCGAGGTCGGAGCCTAAGTGGATTTGTATGTTGGTCATACCGTCGAGGCAAAAGTTATTTTTGTAGTTGTGCATAGCTTTTCTATTATTGTCGTTCTGAATCAAAACTATGTATATGAAAGAATGTCGGTCGCAGACTACAATCCTTGGATCCTTGGGTAATATGGTTTCAGTGTTTAGGCAAATAATTTATCTAATGTACACTATAAGATATTACACTTTAACGAGAAATAACCGAATTCAAAAAGGTTCTCTAGCTTAGGGAACAATAAATACTGTATATTCTATGTATTAAGTTGGGTCTTTGTGAAACAAAATAATCTAATGACTCTTTGGTAAATTTAGAAGATCTTCAGTTTCATGACTCTTTGGTAAATTTAGAAGATCTTCAGTTTCAATCACTTTCTGGAACCCACATCAATAGCTCCCGCAACCCCCCCCCCCCCCCTCTTGGAAACGCTGATCCAGAGTTTTTTTGGCTTTGTCAAGGTAACAAACGTTCAAGAACTTGGGGCTCATGAACAACTGGAAGCCTTTTTGGTACAGAATTGAGTGGAATGACCTATTTGGTGGTTTATCTCTAATTCCCTCACCTGCCAGTCTTGGTGATGATCATCTCAGTGCCTAGGTCGTGGAACTTGTCCCACAACTCCTTCGTCTCCAGGTGACATTCTGCAGTCAGCAGCTCCTGACAGTTGCAACGTCTCTTCACCTTCAGCCTCACTCCGGGCGATTCTCTCTCTCTTTCTCTGTCCTCCTCCTCACTCACACACTCAGAGACTCTCCGCTTCCGTGTCCTCGCCTCTCCCTCACTCTCCGAACACTCTTCCACGTCTACCTCCACGTCTTCCTCCTCCTCGTCGTAGTCGCTGCCGCTCCTGTCCCCAGGCACCACTCGGCGGGCGATGGAGAGTCGGCCTGGAAAGAGACATTCTGTGATGAAATATGAAAAACATAATGATGAGTGTAGACTAGCAGCCAGCGTCACTTCGTAACTTCAAAATCAGTGATGTATTTGAATTAGTTTCCAATTTGCTACTGCAAATCCTATCGAAACACAAAATCTAACGTAAGTAGTTTTCTTCTTTATATTTTATACCAAATACTTTAATTCACTAAAACATCACCAACTAACTGTAACGATAACACGATTTTCTCAAGAATGTAAACAAAATTGTATCATGGCCATCTGTTTTTATGTAAACAAATGTTAACTCTAAAAAGACCAGATGATTGAACAGAAACTCTGAAATTTTAAAAGCCTATAGGGCGAAGGTCTTTTACGGAATGCCATTCAAAATTGCAAAAGCACATCTAGAGGATGAGGGCTTATTGATAACCAATATGCCTGTACAAATATTTAGAAGTCGATTTGCTGAATATAAAAATCCGATTCTTCTAATAATATAGATAGTTTACCGAAGTTAGGTCAGAAATGTACAAATTCAGATTTTCAGAGCGTTCTGCCGAATGAACGTAATATTGTGCGTTGCAAACATTAAACTTGACACATCTCTAGAACATTTCACTACAGCTCTAATACTCACTACACTGAATATTCCTATTTTATTTCAGCTTGTATGTCAAAGGTCATGCAGACGTGAATGAAAACTAATTTTAGACCATCTAAATTAAAAGTTCTAAAATCTGACTGTGTCAGCCTCATTTGCTTCCAAAATATATATTGCAGTCATTAGATTCGGCGTAGTCCTGAACATTTTTTGCTGGGTGTACTGAGTACTGGTGTAAACGTTTATAGGACTCAAAAATCTATTTTAAATTCACTTATATTCATTATTAGTTATATGTTTGCCAAACCCTTTCCATTTTGAGAACCAACATTCTCGTCTCTCACAAATATTGCTTTGGAAGTTGGCATTTGGATGAGGAGAAGGTCATCGTTACCTACTAATGTTAGTTTATATATATCGATGTAGAAGGTTCGGATGACTTAAGCTACAGTATCTGACCTATCCGAACTAATGATTGACAAGAAGCTTCGATCTAACCGCGATGCGCATAGATCGTTTTCGTATATACTGTAAGAACAGGTGGCGCATTATGTAAACTGTTATGGCAGGTGATGCCCACATGAGACAAGAGTTTAGAATTAAAAGGTTATAAATCTTGCATGCAGAAGTGGAAATATGTGGTGGAGGTTAGTAATTGTATGTTAAGCGCGCTGTAGGTAGGCACAAGGCAGGTGTGTGAGTGCGCGTGTGTATGCTAGAATATGATTATAGTTTAATTGTTAAAACATTGTGTCTGAACTGAGGATGAATCCAAAGCGTTTACTGTAATGCAACTGACTGATAAACAAGGCGCAAGTTAGCTCCTCAGATAAAGAGGTGCACATGAAAATTTTGCTAGAGACTGTCTAGGAGAATATTGCTTTTCCAGAGAGACTACCTTGTTTGGTTTACTACAAAGAAAACAACTTATTTTGTGACTCATTATTGGTTGAAGTAAAACACTCGCATTGTTGCGACAGTACACAGTTGTGCCAAATCGTCGAACACTAAATCTCAAAGGCGTTTAAATGTTTCAAAACGACGTCGTTTCAATGATGATTTATTAACAGTGGTAACAAGAGACAAAATACTAGTCTACAGCTGTTATAAATGTGAGTCAACTCGGCCCGCCCGCGCTCAGGGACAGTGGCGTAAATAATAGAACCTGAGACTAAAGACGGTGACACACTATCGATCTTTTCCCCGAACAAGACCCCGAACCGAGCAGGGAGAAGGGAGAAGGGAGGTCGAAGGGAGGATGTTCGATAGTGTGTCACGGGTCCGTACACCGATCAAGACGCCGAACAAGACATCAGGCCGAGCAGGGAGACGAGCGCTCTGGAGGCGGTTTTTTGGCGAAAGATCAAAGAAAAGATCGGTCCGATGTACGGTCCGATGTACGATAGTGTGTCACGGTACATTTTTGCCCCGTACATCGTCGCGAGCGCCGCACCGAGCGGCCGCCTGTGCTAGCATTGATAGTTCCGCGCTCTCACTCGCACACACTCTCTATCTCTCTCAAACTTCCTGTTGCCGCGCTCGGTAGAATTCGTCTGGTCTTGGTCATGTTCGGGGAAATGTTCGGAGTAAAATTTTGCTGATATTTATCTCCCTTCTCCCTTCTCCCTGCTCGGTTCGGGGTCTTGATCGGGGAAAAGATCGATAGTGTGTCACCGCCTTTACAGTAAATAATGTTTAGTACCACTATCTGGACGATCTGGTGGTTATGATACACGTCTGTGAGTGAGAGAGAGAGAGAGAGAGAGAGAGAAGTGAGAGGGTTGGGTTACTCACTGCTTTGTGACAATATGAGATCGCTCTTGCAATGTATGAATTAGGTTCGTAGGGAAGAATTGTACAGTAAAATATAGGGCCAAAAATGAGGTTTTGTTGGCTCGAGATAGTTTTTAAGTTCGAGACGAAGTCGAGAACTTAAAATTATCGAGAGCTGCAAAACAATTTCGGTCCGTCGTACGAACAGTATTTTTCATCACACTATACCCTTTTACCACTATTCGTCACAATACTGTAACAATGCACACTGACAGTCAACACAACTTTAAGGTTATGTGTTGAAATAGTTTGAGGAATCAGCAAAAATAATAATCGTAAATAGTCGCTAGGCAGCGGTGTCGTTAAAACAATTCTATTGCAATGCTATGGATAATGATTGTGGATTTTATGCATTCATGTTTTAAGAAAGTAAGCGGGCAGCTGATTTTGCGGCCCTAGGGATGTAAAAACCTTCTTGGTCCCCAAATTACGATGACAGCTGGCATAGCCAGCAAAACGTAACTTTCAGCCACCAATTAACCTATGTAAAACAGCTAAAAACGTCATAGTGTAGTAAAAAATATTTTTACTAAACAAAACCAAAAATCGTTACCATAAAAAACACACGATAACGAAAACAATATTCAATTTGAACGTTGTTTTCAGTATAATTTGTCGAAATCAAATAAAAACAATTTATTGAGCTAAATTTGACAATAAATTACATTTAGCTGGTCATAAAAAATATTACAGTTTTACTTCTTGTTCTTAGGCTAAAGGACACATAGACAAATTTACAACAATTACTACTTTATACTATTTACACGCCAGGGTTTACAATAGCCCAGTTCCTATGGTCCAAGAACTCTTGGATGCTAAAACAGGAGATGCTATTTAGGACATGCATATTTTAAATGTTGAGTCATCTGATTCCAATTTCAAATAAGGGGAATGCTATTAAAAAGTTGGATGTCGTTGTAAAGATGATGGTTTTTTTTAGAAAAGTGTAACATGTTTGGGATTGGCATATTATAGGAATTTCGAAATGAGTATGGGCAAAAGCGGAGGTTTTATTTATTATTGAATGGAGGTAGATTTTGTCTGACTAAGATATTGGTTTCAAGAATCTAGTTATATGGAGAGAGTTAGAATTTTGGATTGTCAGAATATATCCCACACGATTGGCGTTAGGGTAGAGAAAAAAATGTTATTTACCCAAAACAAAAACTCCATAACTAAATTTCGATTCCACTCCAAATTGTCTGCGTTGTAAAATAGTCTTGTTTTAATGGAAACACCCGCGTGTCCTATGGCGATTGATTGTTTTTACTCAGTTAAAGAAAATTTAAATCGTGATATAAAATATATTTGAAACTTTTAATAGTTGGAACTATATTTTTTTAAACTGAAAATCAAATTGTTGACTCAAAATCGAGTAAAATTACTCTTTGTATTAGCCTAACAAGTTTTTTTAGTTCACAAATTCAAGTTAAACGTTATTTTTAGTGCCCGCATGTGATAAATATCGAGAATTTCTAGACCGAAATACACCATAAGCTTCCACCTCGTATACTGTTTAGTAAGTGAGCTTTGTACAGTTTTAAAGTCACACAACGGTTTTGAAAATTAAAAAATAACATGCAATAACTGTTTTATATATTCCAAAACATGCTAGAACGTAAATACCACTGGGATTTAAAATCCACCCACATTGTATATTGAAAAACTACGTACAATTTTTCACGTGGCTTTAATTGCTCTTTAGTAATAACTGTACATAATCAATTAAGCACACTGTTTCATTTTAACTGATGAAACAGAACTTGACGAGGAAATGATTGTTGCTTTGCGTGTGAATAATTGCAACATTGGCCTATGTGTTATTGACTGCGAATTGCAGACCTGTGTTGCGCGACATGGATTTACTCGTAGACACTTCTGCAATGTTGCTGATATGTGTAATGATATGCAACAACACTTTTCCAAACTGCACGTTCACAAACGTAGTTAGTTACCGTAGTTTTAGTAGTGCAATATTAAAAAAAGTTCAACATTTTTTTGTAATCTTTGCTGTTATATTTTGACTGCTCTAAATGTATGTTGTTCATGTTTCAGCTATTGCGTTCCTCGGCAAAGCCCGGTATGTATCATGTTATTCAGTTCCTCTTTGCAACCTAGCAACGGGATTGGATGCTCAATGCCAAAGCAGCGAAAATGTCCACCAAAACAAAAGCGAAAATGTTTTACCAAACAAATAAATAAAATGTTTTAAAGAAAGTAAAATATATTATTCTATTGGTTTTATTTTCAACGAAGTTAAATTTATAATTGAATTTTTATTCGTATTCCTTTTTAATTCATTTAAATTTATTAAGTAAAAATATTGCTTACAAACTTTCCTTAGCGTAGTCTATTAAAACTTGCCCCTTGTAATGGAAATTGCAAGTCTACCTAATACAGCTTATGAATGCGACAAAACCACTCTTTGAAAATTGTTCCGTGCGGCGCTTTGTTGCAAGCCTTCTTTAATTCCCGTATGTTGTTCGGGCAACGCCATTTGGTAGTAACAATTATCGCATAAGTGCAGAAAATAGCGAGATGCACTAGCAGGGCAGCTGCTTTATGCGGGCCTACAACCTGCAATTACCATCGGCCTCCTTTGTGGGAGCGGCCACGAACTGTCAGTTAATGGCAGGAAACTTCTTCTTTGGATGCAGCCATTTAAATGCCCATAGGGTAAAGTATATTTTGTAGTTTCTGGGGCAGCAGACTGACTAGAACCCTGAGTATAGCTGGGTGTATGGAGTTGCTTGTAAATGCTTCAAGTGCTGGTCGAAATGTTCATCGCAAACGCCAATACCTGAAAGAATGGTTATGCGACTCCAATTCTGTGGTAGGAAATTTTTACATTAAGTACTTACTCGTACAGTATACTTTAGAAGCAAATTACTTCATTTGCCATTCATGCCTTTCATTTGCCTTCAACAGCCGTCATATAAATTACATTACACAATATTTTACTTTAAATAGAAAAGGTTTTCTGTCAAAATTATCAATTCAAATCCGTAGATTATGTATTTACATCCGTGGTTTATTTAAAGAGATAATAATTATTTTTATAATCGAGGTTGTGTATTTGAAAATCACAATTCATAAAGCTTACAGTATGTTTTTTGTTCAGAAAGTTACGCAGTTGTTAACAGTGATTTAGTTATTAACAATTCTATTATTTTTGTAAATTTCTAGCAATAAAGGGAAAAGAAAGAATGACGAGTGAGTTATGCTTATTCATATGTATTTTATTTTCATACATGAATATAATATATAATTTAAAAAGCATTAACATGTTTTGCATTACAATCTATTACATATTGGGCGTATTGTCTTCTCTAAAATATGAAGCTAAAGTGTATCTACAAGAAGAGAGTCATCTATATTGGCAAATAAAAAAATAATACTAAAATAAGTTTGCTGTTTCAATTAAACGTGCATATGTGTCGCTTGAGGTAATTATTTGTTCGACAAGTGTGAAAATTAACTTAATTTAGTGGTTTACTTTAAACATATTATCGCTTTAATTTGGAAACTATTTTTACAACTGTAATTGATGTAATTTAACTGTAATTTAACTGTAATTGAAAAGTGCCGCAAGTTACGCGACCGTAAAATAAAAATCTACCTAAACAATATCTATCTAAGTTTGTCAACCAAATTTATATTATTAAAACTTCTTATTTCGAACAGTAGATAAATATTGTAGTGGTCGTTTTACTAAAAGTATCCTGTAGTAAAATTCGTATTATTATCGTTTAGAAATTAGAGTTTCCATGTTTCGTTGTGCCCAATCGCTTCCAATGAAGACACGAGAATCGGACACAATAAACTTACTTATGCACAGTTATGTTAATACTATACAATAAATGTCCATGCTATAAAAATACAATAAAGGTAATAACTACCTACTTAACTACTATAATTACTATACTACTTGTAAAAAATACAAAAGATATATTTTTAATTACTATTGGTCTCATAAACAGATTAAATTGTTTGTTTGTATTATGAGTTCCCGAAAATAATAATAAATTCCTTTGATCAACGGTTTTATTACACTATGCACTATCCCTGTGTAATGGTATACAGTTCTTAATGTATGTATTTTCTAGTTTACGCACAAACTAATATGAGTGAAACAACCCTTATATTATCTTACATAAATTGTTTTTATCAACCCATTTTAATAGTACCTTTTAATAACCTGTAATTAAAAGTACCGTATTGTAGTTTTGATTCTTTATCATGGATAATTTCAATTTAAAGTAATTCACAGTGTAACAACCCTTAGTTCATGAAACTTTTTCATTTCACGAAAACTCAGGTCAGAAAATTTCTTAATTTGATCCATAAAAATATTATAAGTAAATTAGTAAAATATTCAACATATGCCATAAGTTTTAAAACAAATTTACAAATATTTTTTAAAATGCAAAACAATTGGATTTTATGCAGTGTTATAATGCGGTTATAATTTTTAACCAACTGCTTCATATATTCTATAATTTAGTATTAAAAATTGAAAAAAAACACCCCAATTGGTCAAAATAATCTCATAAACGTTTCTAAGAAAAATAAATAACCAATAATTATACACAACATCAACCAAAGAATGTCCAAAAGGAAAATCGGACTTTGTTAATATTGTTACCTATTTGTTTATAAACTATTTCTATTACATGGTACACCATAAATTAACACATTTACAAAATTAACTCTTGGCGTACGGTATTATAATAATTTATCCGTTAGGAACTAACATTTAAACACTAAATGTATACAAGTATCTAATCTGAGTGTGTTTTAATAAAATGTAAACGAATTTTGTAATTCCATTGTTTTATCTGTTTACTAAATACCTACTTACAATTTACTGATTTTTTTTAAAATGAAATAGTTTATTCGCCGTTGATCGCTTACATTAAATGGGCATGTTAGTTAAAGACTGGTTATCAAATTATACTAAAAGGGTACGTTATGGTATAACTTTTTTCATTTACGGTCATTTTCCTGTTTAAATTAATATATTAGATATTAAGTATTAGGTATAACGAATTGATATCAAGGTATAAATTATGTAAAAAGGGGCTATACACATTGTATTTACACATTAACCTATTTGTTTACCTGTTATACAAAATTGTTTTCTAGTTTTTCTTAGTTTTAAATATATTATTGTTAACAATTGTACCACTAACACGACGTACCATATTTTAACATCTAAACAGAATTTTTTCAATCGCAAACCTAAATAAATTGAAAATAATTACTTCGTAGGGATATCGTTACTATGTAATAATATTGCACTTAATACGTTTATATTTAGAAATTTTATCGACCCCCCCAATGAACCCAGGTTGTGCTTATATGAACAAACATGTTTACGTGTCTTCCTTAACTGCCTTTGCATACTTGTATACAGATATAATTATAAATTACACTTATAACAACATTTAACCCCAACCTAATTACTTCTACTCGAAGTAAATACAACCGGACTTACCGATGAGTGGCTGAGAACGCACCACAGGCCTGGGAGGTTCCCTGGCCATGATCGCGGCGATGGAGAAGTCAGTGGCTCTTGGTTTGGGAGCGAGCCCGTCTTCCTGCATGGTACCCAGTAGCATCGCGACCGGTAATCAACACATTTTACCAAATACCTACGAAAATGATATATCGGATGTCTACAGTCCTGGACACACGCACCGACTGGCAGCGGGAGGGAGTTGCGCGCGGCGGCCGCTAGAGTCCTCTGTTCGCCCCGCCCATCGGTGGGCGTGGCCGCGGTGGTGGGGGTAACCACGCCCCCTGTCGCACATAACCTCGAACCTCTTTGTGTGGTCCGTGTCGCCAGCTTCTCCCTTTTGTTCCGCAGCCGATCGCCGGGTGTTGAGCGTTTCTCGCTCTATTTAATTATACATTAGCGGTTTATAGAGTATATTCGGTAATCGACGGCGACACCGGAACCTCACGGCCGCGTTTGTTTTCGGAAAGTGATTTCCTTTGCACGTGCAAGACGAGACTAATGCGAGTTATGCCCGGTGCTGCGGTTCAGACTGTTTACTTTTCAAATTGCCTAACGCACTGTAGATAATACCTTGTCAATTTGCCCGGCACACCGCTACCCCTTGTACGACTGGCGGTGACTTTGTTTCTCGTCGGAAACGATTAAGGTCTACTTACGCTTTGTTTGCAGCCGTTCGCCGCAAATAGAACCCCTCTCCTAGAACAATGCAAAATAAATGTATTATAAAGAAACACATGAGTTTTTTTAGCCTTTTAATGTATAGTTATTATCACCATTTATTTTACCACGGTTCTAAACCATTACGTAATAATATAATTTGTATCATGACTGCAAATATAATTTGAGTATAATTAATTTGTATGCGACCTGTAAATGCAGAAGAACGGGAGAAAACATCCTAATATTAATATTAAATTTCCATAATACAGTTAACAAGCAATGACAACAATATAAAAATAGTACATTCGTCATTTATTTTTATTTAAAAAAAATTAATAATCATTACAGCATAACAACGATAAAAAAATACACGAAAAAGTGGTTTACTCAATTAATTGTATTGAACAAAGATCTCATTCATATCGCGCAAATTATCTTATATTTTATCTTAAGATTACTTTCAAAATATACCTAATCTGGCCTTTATTTCATATAGTTGCAGAATAAAGAGACGGATATAAAGAGTGAGATATACTAATATGCAAATAACGAACCGATTCAGAAAAACAAAAATAACAGATTTTGAAACAGATCTAATTGATTTAAATAAACGACTGAAGAATCTGATTATAATATAATGTAAAGGAACTGCTAATGCCAGGGGTTATCAATGATAACATTCTTGTTTCGGTTTCATGGAATGTTTTCTGCCGGGTGCAAATTCGGTTACGTATTGGCCGCGAGCTCTGTGCACTTTAAAATTTAACGAGGGCGGGACAATTTTCTGTGCTGCCCACACCGGGTTCTGACTACTAGTAGCTTTCTAATCTAATCATTGCTAACTACTGTAATCTGTTGTAAGACCATGCTCTACTTGCGGACTGCGAAAGAATCTCTTCTCGAAATACATGTAAATGGTTGCTATTTTGACTCAAAATTACACTAAATCAGCGAACAAAAATGTATTTTGAGCTAAAGCACGATGGGAGTACAGTACATGGAGAAAAGCCTTACCTATAATTGCACAAACCATTCAGCTAACAAAACAGCTGATTAGTGTTTGCTAAATCATGCAAAAGGCATGCATTTAGATGAACCTGTAAAAAGGATCTTTTATTGATATGTTGTAAGCAAACTGTCACATTGGTCTCAATGCATGGATTAAATTAAAACATCTTAGTAAAATGTTTGACAACTAATAACGTTTGAGTGTACATAACACTATGTTTGAAAATACTGTATCATACAAGTATCACATTCAGGCTATTCACTTCTAGATGAATCACAAAAAATTTATTATGTATGTAGTGGTTTTTCCGTTAGTAAATAAATAAATATTGAGCTCTCAAAAATGATAATAGTCTCGGTGATTTTACTTCACTTAAGTATAAAATGATTTGTCAATTGTATATTTTAAATGAAATTTGACGAGTAACGAGTTATAGCAAGAAAAAATCGTGCTATCACAGATCAACAAGTTTTTCTTATTCTGTTCTTTCATTGTGATACGTTTATTAAAAAAAAGGAAAGCTGTGTTAAAATTAAAGGGTATGGATATGTTCTGTAGAAGATTCATATTTTTATATGAACATCAAACAGTGTACTGAGAAAAGGTTGGGTTAGAAATTTTAATTATTATTTTATTAAAACTGTTTACTATGTTTGAAACTAATAGTAGGTTAGATTCTCTATAAACACAACATTTAATTTTTACTTTATTTATTTATACTTTATTTTTATGAATAATCAATACAGAATAATAATATTATATTGAAGTATGTTTACTATCAATACTTTTAGTTTATCCATAGCTTTTCTGCCTCCAAATAATATTCGAAAGTATATTATTATAGGTTTTACATTCATCTTCAGCTTTATAATATCTACAGGACTATTAAAATATTGATAAATATAATCTTCCATCATCAGGTCTCATTTGAAAAAATAATTATTTTTTTTAAGACAGTGAAAATTACATGTTATCATAGATTATACACCCCCTAGTTTTATGATCAATGGTGTTAGAAAAGACAAGAGACCAGTTATCGAAACTTAAATTTACAAATCTGCAACAATTCGTGGATAGTTAATGCTGGTGACAGGAATTATACTATTTTAATATCCTTAAATCTTTCAAACATATTTAGCTTTATATCCAATATAAATCATTTTAATCAATCACAAATTGTTTTCTCAAGAGAGAATACAGAAGTGTTGTCGCCAAGCAGAACTTTATACTCTGTGTAAAACACTTGGGAGTAAGCAGAGACTTCTTACTCTATGTCAGGCGCACATATTGTGCTATGGAGGGAGCGCAGCTACTGGAAAGGTGTCTTTATTTCCCTTGAGAGCAGCAGCCTTTTCGATATTGCTCGCGTACAGTCAAGTCAAAACAACACCCGCCAACTGCCAATCTGCATATGCTAAACAGCTGACGATTGTGAAGTAAAATTGTAATATAGGGTTACTTTTGGTGTTTATTTAGAGCAAGTTTTTACTGTTTGTATAATTTTTCTTGTTTTTGAGTACCAAACAAAAACAAAGAATGTGCTTCTACATTTATACGTGTCTATTTATAATGTATGAAAATTTCAATAAAATAAATGTTTTCAATCGGAACTTACTTAGAGACATCCAATTTTATCTGCATTTAAGTCCCTATACACAAGAAAACTTAATCGAACAGTAAGCATTTATCGATACGGAAAATTATTTACTTAATCGTACGACGCTTGTTAATTTTACGAGAATATTAGTAAATTCTATATAGACGAATCCTAACTTCATTGTGATGTTTATGGGATGGTATTATCACTCTTAAAAACCATACAAATCACCGAAAATATGACCTACCAGGTTTAGATGTTTACTGGCAAACTGGTATAGGTATTTGGTACATATTCTTTAGGTATAAACATGTTGAGACCTGTGAACCTGCACAGTTTATTCGCATTTTAACTAAAAACTGTAGTAAATTTAGTCCTAGATATATTTTAGGAATATTTCTAAACAAACTAATTTGTAATATCAAATGTTATTTGATTCCACTATAAACTGTAGGTCCCTTAGCTGCCATTAGCTGTTTGTTCTATTAATTAACAGCAGCTGTGTCTAAGGAATAGTCGGCCTTAGTCACTAACAAGACTACAAGATTGCGCCACTCATCCTACACTCATCCGTCACTCATATTATGGTTGAAATACGCACATAGTGGCGTCCCCATCTTAAATAATTGATATAATTGTTATACGTATAATGCACATAATTGTGTTTATTTTGTTGGAGAAAATTAACTACAGTACTAAACGTTTATTTCGTTATATGGGAATTGTCAGAGACTTGTTCAAGCGGGCGAAATCTGGTAGTATGAATGTAGTGTAGAGCTCTAAACACTCGTCCAACCATTTACAAAATCACAACAATTGTAGGGGTTCGGATTAAATTATCCTTTATACGGGGAAACATGGGAATGATTATAAATATTTGTTGAAAAAACACTATTTCATTAGCTTTTAAAAAAATAAAATAAAATAAATTGAAACAGAAATTCATTTAACATCCTCGATAATCTTAACAACGAACAGTGTTTAATTGTCCACCGACAACCAAATAACCTTATCAACACCATTTTGTTACCATCCCTTCAAAACTTTCACCACTAAGGCGACGACAGTTTTGGCAGCAAGTGTACCGCCTTGCGACTTAAGGGGGATGTTCAAGGGAGTGTGGGGGGGAGGTGAAGAAGCGAGAAATTCAATGCTATCAGTAAGACTCCATCTTCATATTATTTCCCGAGGTGGCGCCGGCTTTTCCAATTTTGAGTTTCGCCCCACCTGAGCAGGAGCCCGGGTACGTTTATGAAGCCCCTGGGGAATCGTCTGATGATTCTGGCCAATCTTGCAATATTACTTTTGTCAACATTCACAAAATAGCATAATCTTCAGGTGTCACTGAGTAAAATTGCACAATATAGAATCTCAAGAATGAAAATATATATTTATTATTTTATTTGTAAAAGGTTAATATTTTAAAATAGATTTAAAACGTGTTTACGACCATGTTTGCGTTGAAAGACAAACTTTTTTAGTAAATTGGTCTACTAACTGACTTATAATATTCATTTACTAAACAATTTTTACAAGTTTGAACAACTCTTCAATTTTTCTTTTATACAAACTTATAACAAAATATATACTTACATATGCACATTTATCCGACCCCACTTCCCACTCAGGCTATACACATATCTTAAATAAGTCCCTTCGAGAACTAATCCGAACTCCGACTTTGGATAATCCGAACTGTTATTTACGTCATAATTTCCCACCACGATCTGGCGGATTAGGCGTCTGGGGCTCTGAGGTGTTTTGAATCACAACGGCCTACTACGTATGCAAACAGGCTTCTTGTGGGGTCGAAATGAATGAACGGGCCCCATTCAGGAGTCCGTGTCAAAATCCCAGTTTTATGAGGCCCGCTTCGCGCTGTCATAACACCCTGACT